AGTAATTACATATAACACACACCTATATACACACTCTATAATTTAATATACAGGATATTATGCATATACACATATATACAGTGTGTGTGTGTGTATATATATATTACACATATAATAACAAAGCAATTCTAAAAAGTTATAATTATACAGGCTGTCTTTGTAAAGTCAGAAGCACTTTATGTTTTTCCTAAAACAAATCCCCAAAAAATAAGCATCTAAAAAATTTTTAAAAATTCAAACAGCCTGTCTTTTACTAATGAGATGATAAATAGTGCAAAAAATTTTCTTAACTTCATAATGATAGTTTAAGTGTTGTTCTACGGGATACATGTGTAATTATCTCTGGCTATTTGCTTGAGGCATTCCATCTGTCACTGTTATTTGTATATTTCTTCTCATTCAATATGAGAAGAAAAATCCTTTTTCCTTTTAATTCTATGCTTGTAGTCTCAAATTATGTATTGGTGTGTCAAGCATTTTTGTTTTGTTTTATTTTATAAGTGTTTATGTTGTCAACTAACAATATCTAAGTTGAAATAATGTTTTTTGTCTTTACCACTGGAAGGAATATAGGAGAAGTCTGCACTGCCAATTACATGTGATCTGTGTCTATTTTAATTTATATTCTGCTATTTCCCTTTCCTTGGAGATGTCTGGTAGGGTGAGAGGAAGGTACATTTGGACCCCAAAACACTGCACCTAACAATCAACAACTGTTTTATCAGCTATACCACTGCAACGACTTGTTACTATTTGCTATTGATTTTCTTAAATCCTCATATTTGCAACTGGAATGTAAAGGAGTCCCTAAAAATATAAACAACTCTGTTCAGTCATTTGAGAATCATTTTCCATTTTCCACTCCAATCCCCTTATCTTTTATTCCAAAACCCAAGTAAAACCATAAAACCTGACCGCAGTTATCTGTAGAAAGCAGCACCATTTAAAATTATAAGAGATCATGGAAAGAAAGGAAAAATGTTAGGAGATCTAAAGTTATGGTTTTTTTTGACTTTGATATAACTTTAATTACTTCATGGGCATTCCTGGTGGAATCTCAAGGACATTTTATAAAGGAAGGGTGCCATGACTGTCATACTGGACTGAAAATAAAATTTGTGTTCTAGTCACTATCTCATCCTGTGGTAGTTTTGTTTGAATTTCATTTTTTGACTTTGGACAAATCGCTCAATTTCTGGGCCTCAAAACCGTTGGTGAAATACGTGGATCAAAATGAGATATTTTTATATTCTGTTTATCTATATCATTCTATTGATGTTATGCTTAATAAAAAATAGAATCATGGAATTTGTTGAAAATGAATAACACAGTATATGTTACTGGTTACTAGAAAGTTCATATTTCAAATTCTATTCTGTAAATTGAACTTCACTTTTCAGGTCTACATAGCATTGTAATACATCCAAGGAAAGTCTAGAACAATCTTCTTTCTTGCTTAAGGAAAAGGACAGGGTCATTTGGAGATAAATTCTATGTTTTGGAATTAAGCCTCCTTTAAACAAAGGGGATGATCACAAACTTATGACACAAAACAAGTTAATATAAAAGCTTACTCCTAAACTGTTTTCGTAGCCCTTGGCTGGCCCAGTAACGGGTAACCTTTGAGTAAGACCTGGAAGGAATCCTTTAGTTCCTTCCACTAAGATGAATAAACATGTACGTGCAAAAGAAAAGTTCTCTTTAACAACTTTCTTCCTCAAAATAACACATTAGTCTGAATTTCTATGAGTCATGTAGTATTATCTACAAAAAAACTTATGAAAATTGCAAGCTTGAGTTATTAAATCCTTCTAATAGCAGTGGTTGGATTAATGTAAAGAACAAAGTAAAAAGCAAAAGCAAAACAAAAAAAACCCACTTTGACTATTTTTAAAGATTTTAAATAGAAAGCAATGTCAAATAGTGCTTAAAGGATTTTTTATTTGATAAGTTCTAGGCTCAAAATTAGGTGTCCATAAATTTTGAGGTGAAATGTCTTAGGGAGACATTGATTCAATTATCTTAAGTTGATTATTTTTCTAGTAATTATCAATGCTATTTAGTAAAAGGAATTTCCATAATTAACTTCAAAAATTTTAAAGATTTAAGATTTTATTTTAGAAAACTTCCTGTGTAAAACAATATTTTCTTAATCACTCGTGGCCATAATAAAACAAAATTGCTAAACTGTGTGCCAAAATAGACTGATATTTTGTATCAACAAATAAATTATACTTACCAAATGGACAATGACAATAATATGAATCCACACCACTCTGGCAGGAACCACCATTAAAGCAGGGGTTGCATTCACAGTAATTTACTGAAGATTCACACAATTTCCCTAAAATGTATCAAATTTGTTTAAAAATCTTATAAATATATTAACATCATTACAGCATTACTATATGCAAAAATCTATCCTGAGGCATATCTTGGAGAAAAGAATTATAAAAGCATTTTATTTGACATGAGGAAATTGAAATGATATTTCAGAGTTCAAAATATTATTTAGTTGTTCTATTGTAAAGATGCATGTTATACTCTTTAGGAAATTATTTGCATAATCATCTCATATGAAAATACTGTTTTCAGGAAAATGACATGCTGAAAATATTTCAGTGCTTTCACTGACTTTATTTCCTTTGTCAATGTCCCTTCATCTTTTTTTTTTTTTTGAGACAGAGTCTCATTGTGTTGCCCGGGCTAGAGTGCTGTGGCATCAGCCTAGCTCACAGCAACCTCAAACTCCCAGGCTCAAGCAATCCTCCTGCCTCAACCTCCCAAGTAGCTGGGACTACAGGCATGCGCCACCATGCCCGGCTAATTTTTTCTATATATTTTTAGTTGTCTGATTAATTTCTTTCTATTTTT